TATCGATAAATGCTGCAGTGCAGTATTCTTTTCTTTCCAGTCCATCTCTTGCATATTGATAAACACGATTTATCTGTTCAATGGTTGAGTGGCGGTTTCGAAAGCCGAATTGGTGAGCAGGAATTAGTAAGCGACTTTGGATGATCTGGTTATGACTCTTTAAGAGTATTTTTTCGAAGACTTTGAAGAGCACCGGAAGTAGGCTTATAGGTCGGTAAGATGTAACTAACTCTAAAGGTTTACCTGGTTTTGGTATCAGGATAATTTGAGCTACTTTCCATTCACTTGGATAGTATTCTTGACGTATAATAGCATTAAAAAGTTGGTTGATGAAAACAAGACCAATGTTTGGAAGCTCTTTCAACACTTTGCCAGTAATCAAATCGTACCCAGGAGCCTTTTTGGTTTTTGCAGGAATGACTCAATTTCAGTGTCGTCTTCATAACTTATGCACGGGTGTGGTTGAAATACACCTTGAAGATGCTCTGCGAAAATTTGAGCCTTGTCGATTCTGGATCTAGCCCACTGTTCATTATACATTTTGAGTGGTGGAATCTGTGGCGTTGATCCATTCAGCTTGCGAGTGGCCCGCCATAATGAATAGTCGGTTGCTTCACTGGGAGACAATTCAGATAGGTATGTTTCAATATTTTTGTTTTTGTTCTCCCTTAGGGTTTCTTTAAGTTTTTTTATCGCTTCATTCAAACGTCTTTTGTCTTCACGATTTTTTATTATTTGCCAAATTCGTTGCAATTTACGTTTCTGAAGTAACTGTTCCTTTATGCCTCTGTCTATGTGCTCTTCTTTGTATTCATTAAAATGCTTAGTTGAGTTCCACGCGGCATTCTGTACGGTTGTATTAAATTGCTCGACCGCAGATTCGATATCGGTACCGGTTTTGAGTGGGATGTTGGTTGTTAAATTTTCATTTATGATGCTTCTGAAAATACTCCAGTCTGTACTTTTGTTGTATAATCGAGGCTCTTTGTTCTTTACAAAAATTTTAGAGTTCAACTTCACTCCATAAGAGTGGTCTGAGGAAAGATCTAAACTGGAATGAATCGATAATAGTGAGCTTGAAATGCCTTTAAATATGCAAAAATCGACACATCTGGAACTTTATTGTGGTCTGTTGGCCAGTAAGTTGGTTCACCAGTTGATGCGTCAAGCAAATCGTTGGCCTGCATAGTCTTAAACAATTCGCGGCGTCTTGGTGTGATTAGTCTGGAGCCCCAGTGAGTATGCTTTGCATTGAAGTCCCCAGCAGCTATAAATGTTTGATCAAGCGTGTGGAAAAATTCCTCAAACTGATGACTTTTAATTTTTTGGTTTGGTGGGCAATAGATAGAGGCTATACATATTGGACCTTTATTGTTTTTAACTGTTAATGATATTGACTGAAGAAATGGTTTTTCGTATTTGTTGTGCACAGAGTGATCAATATCGCTTTTCATGATTATCGCAGCTCCTCCGCGAGCATTTCCAGATGGGTGGTTGGCACCGTATATAAAATACTTCGGAAATCTGAGACGGCTTCTTTGGTTGAAGTGGATATTAACATAATATCAATATTTTTGTCAGTGAGAAAAGTCTGTAGTTCGCTGCTATGTTGACCTAACCCATTAGCATTCCAGAAAGCAATTTTAAATGCACTCATTATTTTGACGTATTAGCGACGAACGCTGTTAAAATATTTAGCATAGTACTCATTTGTTGTATTAGTGTTTTAATCATTACTTGCAGCTCTGACATATCATTGTTTTCTGATCTTGTTTGTGGTTCACTAGTGATGGTTTGGCCGTTACTTACGACATTAGAGTATGTTCGACCAGCTTGAACGAACTCTGTGCGCGTTGGTGGACTAGTGGTTTCTTTTCTACGGAGAGGTGGAAACGCTTTTTGTTGAAGCTGCCTGTATACTTCACAGCCCTTGTAATTAGCGGGGTGATTTCCGTTGTATAATACACATTTTACTTCATTGTCGACTACATTACGAGTACACTCTGATGTCAAGTGATTACCAGGGCATTTTACACAGCGGGGCGTTCGTTTACAGTAATGGTTTGTATGACCATAACGCTGACAACGAGAGCATTGGGGAATTACCCGTTTTTTTCTTGGAGCTTCAAAAGTAATTTTTGTATGTAGTAGGCTGTTACAATTGAAAATACTCTTGTTTGTATCTGACGGTTTCAAACCAATAAAAAATATAACGGATATACATAAACAAACATGTGTGCAGACTTAACAAATAATTGTTAAGTTTTAATTTTACCACATACATGTAGGTTTTACTTAAGTTTAACTTAGTTTAGTTTATTTATTTTTCACATTGATTTCGCTTAACTAATTAATTTTAATTTTACTACAATAGTTTGTTTATTATTTCATTTCCATTGGTCTTTCTTTGCATTTTATACAATATTGTGAAATAGGGTTCTGCTCGCGCTCTTAGAATTATTTTGACACAGCCACTTTGTATGTCTTGTTGCTATCGCTGCTGCTCACACACTGACTGTAAGAAAATTTACTTCTTCGCTCTGTTCTTTCGCGCGCTGTCAAGTTCAGCGAGGGTTGCCCTGCGCTCCAAAACAATTAAAACCTTAGAGCTATTATTACTTATCCTACATACATGTCTCTGATCGAAATTTGGTATTCAAACTTAAATATACAAGGTGCGATTTGGTAGCACGCCTACTTTGTCTGCAAACATGTAGCATTAGCTATATCCTGCTTTAGAGCGGTTTGTATTCGCTATTCTGACTAGTTGTTCCGTGGAGAGATCGTCCCTAAGCCCGAATTCTTCGTATGGAAGGATATTTAGGGGTTACCGCTGTTTTTGGCCTAGCCAGGATAACTCGTTCTGCCAGGTTTCCCAAAGTTGGAAGCAGGCTGATGGGCACCAGTTCTGTGGGAATAAAGGATTCTTGTTCGGTTTAGGAAGCACTGCAATCGAAGCCATCTTCCACGCCTTTGGGAACTCGCCAAGAATAAACATGCAGTTGATGATGTTAACGATGCATTGAATTGCGTCTTCTGGGAGATTACGTGGGCATTCGTTGCTGATTTTTCCGTGTTCGGGTGCTGATTTGGTCTTTAGAATAGATCTGATATAGTTAATCTCATCGCTAGAGCACGATGAGATGCTTTCATCGGACACCTGGTCCCTAAGTTTAGCAACCTCAACTTCTTTATTAATTGCTTCCTTTTTGTTTGTATTTAGATTTCTATCAGCTTCCAGAACTGAACAATGAAACGCATTTATTTAAAAATGTTGGCAAATATTTCATTCTTTATTAAGAACTTCATCAGTGCTATATAATAACAAACAATAATTTAAATATAAAATACTAACATCAAAATATAAGTACCTTATTTTTTATAAAATGCAGTAATTTTTTTTGTTCCACAATAGTCATAAGTGATAAAAATTGAATTAACAAATTAAAATAGAAAATTAAAACAATTAAAATTCACACATTAATACTTAAATCACAATTTTTTGGACATAAATAACTACCATGACAAAACTAAAAAATTTTTTAATGTTAATATTCCGCCAAAAATAATAATAATAACAAACGTTCTGTTTTTTATCTCTTATTACTCAATAAGAAGAAACTCAACAGCTGACTTTTATTTTGTTTTATCTCTTATTTTTGATTAACTTGTATTTATCCAGTAAATTAGAGTAAAGTGTGCTAAAATTATCCGTGTCTCTCTTGTAGTTTACCATCTGTTCATTGTTTAATATGATGTGAATAACTTCACTCATTAATCCATTTTGATAGTTATTTTCAATTTTCACGATTATTACTTCATCAAAGTTAAAGTTATGTCCTTTGGAAAGAGAATGTTCAGAAAGAGCTGTGTTTTTTCACTTCATCTTTGCGTTTACACGTACTTTTGTGTTCACCAACTCTTTTTGCCAATCTTTGTTTGATTGTTCCTATATAAGCTCTATTGCAATCATTACAATTGATCCTTGATTATAAATAAGATTTGACAAATTTCCTTTCTTTTCTTTGTCCTTAATTTTTGGGAATAAATCCGACCGCTACGGATGTTGTTTCTAGCGTTTGTAGCTTGCTGATTGTAGCATGGTGCTACATCTTTGTCTGCCAGGTGTGTGGGATACTGTATGACCAACATTGTCGTATCTTGATGCTGTTGGCATGTTTGGCTATCGAAAATGCTGACGGAAGTCAGCTTGTGATATAATTGCCTTTTTTTCAATATTTTTTCGAAAAATGCAATAGCGCAATGGCGTTAACCATCACTGCATCAAGTCCATTAGTTATAAGAGGCCAGTACCATTTATCCCTCGAATCCGTATTCGGTAATTGTTTATAGCATTGTCAAAGAGATCAACGCCACCCATTGTTTTATTATAATGATTTATATTCCGTGGCATGCTGATATTAGCCAGTTTCTTCTCTTTTCTAGTATAGCGTTTGGTAGTTTGCATTGGAAGAGTTGCGATGGGGTTTGATGCTACTGTAAGTACAGAATTGTCATTCCATCAACATAAATATACATTGTTTTCGACATTGTATACCGCATCATTTATTCCTCGTAGCTCAGTTTTTCAGCCATAGTTCGATTTTCGCGTATCGTCCCAGTTACAAAAAAGCCTTTTTCATTTAGAAGAGCTATTACTTTGAATGATGTGAAGAAGTTATCGAATGTTACCGTATGATTTTTCGGGTCTTGTATTCGAGATAAAAGAGATAAGACTACCCGTTCTCCTAAAGGCAAATTTGTTTTTACAATAGCTCCTGCATAAGGCTCAAACTGAAATGCTTTTCTTCCAAGCAAAAGCTATGGGTCTTGGTTTACAAAATATTGGCTTAGCATTTTCAGAAATAGGTAATGAAATCAGTGTAGATTTATATGAACCTAATTGCCCATTAAAAAACGAAAATCACTAATCCGTACCAAAATCTATTCAATGGAGATCTACCATTCTTCAAGAATTTGATGAAGGCCGTTTTCGTCGGATGCTTAGAGTAAATTGGAACGAATTTTCCTTAATACTCTCACTAATAAACACTAGCGCGGAGTTCACTAATTCACATTCAATTCAACAATTCCCGCTCGATCTTCAACTTGCTATTGTTTTATATCGTTTGGGTTCATCAGGCGAAAATGCGGCTATTCGTAAAGTCGCTACATTATTTGGTGTTGGAAATGGGGAAACAATTTATAAGATAACCCGAAGAGTCTTTCGCTCCATATTGGAGCTGCAAACCAAATTTATAACGTGGCCAGATGTATCTGAACGACAAGATATAATGGAGAAAACCTATCATGAGCTTCCACATTGCATTGGATATATTGACGGTACTGAAATAAAACTTGCCGAACCACCAGTGGTTAACCATACATCCTATTTTTCAAAAAATATAGTGTATTCAATAAAAGCACAAGTCGTATGTGACTATCAGCTGAAGATTCGACATGTCGCAGTTGGTCACTATGGAAGTGTACATGATGCTCGCATGTTTCGTACAAGCGCTCTCTGCATCCAAGAAAATTCTTTATTTTCTTCGGAACAATAGTTAGCAGGCGATTCTGCTTATCCATTACTTAAAACTCTTATAACTCCGTTTCGGTCAAACTCCCAACAGCTTGACTACTCCAAACGTAAAACTTTTAACTTACGCCATAGCAGATTTCGTGTAAGGATTGAACATTGTTTTGGACTTCTGAAAGAACGCTTCGGTAGTCTTAAGGAGTTAAGAATCCGTTTTCAGAATGATACAAGTGTTAAGTTATTGTAAAATAAAACAGTTTGCAAAGCTTTTAAGATTTTAACCTAGTTTATTTATTATATTGATAGTAGCAGTTTTTAATATATATCTTATTTCATTCGCTCCAAAGCAACCAAAAAAACCTCCACTCTACGCGTCGTATTTCGCCATACTTCTTTTTAAACGTCAAACGCTCGATTTGCTATTTTTTTCACACTCATGGTTGCATTTTCGTATCTTAATTTTTCGTGTTTTTACAGTCGGCCTCCTGACATCTCAAAGCGACCCCGCTTTGTCCGTCGATTCGGCAACGTTATCATTGTCGTCATCATCGTCGTCATCAGCCTCGCTGCTACTGTCATCGTAAGGCAACTGACACCATCGCTTGATCTTATCGAACGAATACACCGAGGTGTACTGCCGCTGTGTTCGTTTGGAGTTGGGTAAATCGTTGACTACATATCGGTCTTTGTCGAGTACTTTAGTAATAATGAAGGGGCCTTTATAACGCGGCTCTAGTTTCCTCGACTCACCCGTGCTATACGGCTCGTTTTGGACTAATACTAGATCACCCTCTTGAAATTTCGTTGGCTGTAAGTACCGCTTGCCGTATCGGCTTTTAGCTTTAGCTCGCTCATCAGTAATTCGTTCTGCAATCGTTATGCGTAAATCCGTTAATTGATCAGTAGTCAGAGTGTCGTCGTTATGTAGAGTTAGAATTAATGCGTTCTGAAGTATATCACGAGGTTGATAACCATACAGCAACTCGTACGGTGTGCATTTCGTTGTCGCATTCTCCATCGTATTTAGGCACCATTGCAATCTTACCATATTTTCGTCCCATCGTTTGTCAACCGTATTTGTTGGTAACAGCATCGATAATATTGTTCGATTAGTCCGTTCGGCATGAGCATTTGCTCGTGGAGTTCTTACTGCATTTTTAATATGTCGAATATGGTTCCGAGTACAAAACATCTCGAAATCTTTCGCTGTGAACGCAGTCCCTCGATCAGTAATTATTTTCGTTGGCATTCCACAGTAACTTATAACTTCATTTAATGCGCTGAGTACGTGCTTTGTCGCGGTACTTTTAACTGGCTTTAGTACGGTAAATTTCGTAAAAGCATCTACTATAACGAGTAGATATTCATTTCGTTTCACACTTTTAGGAAATGGTCCTAAGTGATCCATATGTATGGTCTTGAATGGTACAGGTTCTATTTTATCGAAATGGTAAATTCCTTCCCTTTTCCCCCCTGGCTGTTTATTATACGCACACTCAACACAAGATTTAATATAATTCTTTGTGAAGTTTCGCATTCGTGGAAACCATAGATGGGTTTTAATTCGGTTTATCGTCTTTTCAACGCTCATGTGTCATGCGCTATCATGACAGTCCCGAAGAACTCGATGTCTTAAACGTTTCGGCACGACCCATAAAAGCTTATCATCAACCATACGATACAGCCGACCGTTATGTATTTTATAACCATCGCTTTCAAGTCCATTTTCGCGTTGCACGTCAGCCACGATTTTCTGAAGGTTTACGTCTTGTAATTGCATCGCAAACAACCAGTCGTATTCGTTTAGTCCAACCTTGAACGTACGCATGTCCGCTGTGTCGCCTTCATAAACATTTAGTAACGGATTTCGACTTAGTGCGTCCACGTGTTCCATTCGTTTCGCACTTTTATGTTCTATATTTATATCAAAATCTTGTATACGTAACCACCACCTGGCTATTCTTGGAATTAGCTCGCGCTTTTGCATCGTTGTTTTTAATGCACTGCAGTCTGTCACCACCGTGATCGGTTTACCATATACGTAATAACGCAATCTCTCCAGAGTTTCGACAACGGCTAATGTTTCCAGCTCGTAGCTGTGGAACTTTTGTTCATCTATCGTTGTAGATCTGCTGTAGTACACGACCGGTTTCCATTCGCCCATCTCATTTTGTAACAGCACGCCTGCTAACCCAATTGAGCTTGCGTCAGTATGTACTTGATGCTCAGCATCCGATCGATAACGAGTCATAACTGGCTTCTTCGTTAATGTGGATTTCAGTTCATTGAATGATCCCTCCTGCTCGCCACCACACTCAAAGTTTACGCCTTTATGCAAAAGTTGTCGTAATGGTTTACTCACGATCGCATAACCTGGAACAAATTTCCTAAAGTAACCGCTTAAACCCAAAAATTGTCGTACTTCCGTTTGGTTTCGGGGCCTTGCGAAATTTTCGACTGCTAAAGTTTTTGCTGTACCAGGGCTAATGCCGTCTGAAGTTAATTTATGACCCAGAAACTCGATCTCTCGATTCAGGAATATGCATTTTTTTATATTTAGTGTCAATTTCGCCTCACGTAATGCATTGAATACTCGTTGTAATTTACTAAACATTTCGTCTGCCGTATTTCCGCCTACGCCAATGTCGTCCATAAAATCCACCATATCGCCAGGATGAGTCATTTCTTTGACCTTGGCCATCGTACGCAGGAATACCGCCGGAGCATTCTTGAGTCCGAAAGGCATACGTTTGAATTCATACAACCCGTCTGTCGTTATAAATGCAGTATATTTTCTGCTTTCTTCCGCTATTGGTATTTGATAATACCCTGAGTTAAGATCAAGGGTTGTGAAATAAGTATATTGTTTCGCTTCTTGCAGCCGTTCTTCGATACTTGGGGTGGGAAATATTTCTTTGATCGTGTTGTTGTTGATACGCCGATAATCAACGCATAAGCGATCTTCGCCATTCTTTTTCTTGACTAAAACAATAGGGCTGGCATACGTAGATTCTGACTTCTGGATGATACCGTTTTCCAAAAGGTCATTTACCATTGTTGCCACCACCGACCGTTTTGGTGCTGGTACCCGATACGGCTTTTGTACGATTGGTTGATCGGTTGTTAATGTAATTTTCATTTTCGTTAAACCCGTTTTGCCTATTTCGCTCAAGCTTGTGGCGAATACGTCTCTATTACTATTAATGAGATTGCACAAGTCTCGTCGTATTGCATCGTTATCGCTTCCACAATTGATTTCGTTCATTGATATAGGGTCCCGCGTAGTTCTTCTTACTATTAAGTGTCTTGGCGTTTTCTCTAAGGTAAACGTATCGCGCTGAATTTGTACGACCACATCATCTGACACAACATCATGGCCTAGCAATATATCGGTTGTCAACATTTTATCGTCTACTACATAAAAATATATTAGTTGGCGTACACTGTCGACGGCAAGTTGGGCCCTAACCCCTTCAGTTAGTCGTACCTTTCCACTGCCGAACACCGAAATGTTCATGGAACATAACTGAATTTGACCATTAATATTTCTCGATACTGTTTTCCGTATAAGACTGCACTGGCTACCTGTATCAAGTAGTGCTGTACATTGTCTACCATTTATGTATACTTCTCTGATCGATTCGTTGGTGCGTTCAATTCGACGCACACTTGACTCCCCACAGTGCGTACTCTGACCTTTTGGGTGAACTCTTCCGCAATTGTTACACCGTTGTCTACGTTGTGGCTTTGAACATTCGCGCGAAAAATGTCCCGCTTCACCGCAATTGAAGCAAGCTCTAACCTTCGGTTCCGTTCTAAACTGTTTCTGTCCGGAGTTTTCATTTGCGTCTCCACTTACGCTCGAATTTATTATCGGATTTGACGATGAATTTGCCAAAGCTATTTTGTTCGTTCCATGTTGCATATTGCGTAAAAAGTCCTCAATACCTTCGCGAAAATCTTTTAAATTATTAAACCGTAGCGGTGCGATCGCCGCTTGCAATTTAGTGTCGTTTAGTCCATTGCGAGTATATTTTATAATGGCACTATCACTTATCTTGTATCGTCGGCCAAGTGCCGCAATTCGAAAACAATAGTCAATAATGCCTTCATTAACATTACGTACCGCTTGACTCAATTCAAAATTAATGTCAGCTTCGTCACATTTTACATCAAATTCTGCACGCAACTTATTCGAAAAACTGCTCCACTCGCTATCAAATTCTTGTAGAGAATCCAGCCACAACCGCGCTATTCCTTTTAACTTTCCATAAACGGCTAGCAATAGTTGTTTTTCATTCCATTGGAATGCATTAAGAGATCTTTCGACGCGATTGATAAATTGTCCAACCGTAAGACCATTTTTATCTGTTGGATCGAACACGGGTATCGTTTCGCTGATATCTTTTACCGACCCATGTTGTGGTAAATCGTTAACCACTGTAGATGTAATTTCCGTCTTCTGATTTTCATTTTTTTCGCTCACGTTTTCCGTAGGTTTACTTCGTATCACGTTTTCTATGCCCATTACAAGTTGTTGAACCATTCGTTCCATATTATCTATTCGTGAATTGATCACATCTACCGGCTCGCGGATTTCGTCTGCTTTCAGGTGCTCTGTCAGACGCAATACTAACTGCGCTTTGTTGCCCGTCGTATCTAAACCTTCTTCCTCCAACGCCTCCTTCAGCTCGCTTAAACGCATATCCTTCAACTTCACCATTCTCATTTTATTACCGCCGTTAATTTATAAACAACAAATTTCGTTCCCGTTTCGTTTTGTTTTTCTTTATACCTTAACTTCGCTTTCGCGCATGTTAATGTGTTGAAGCGCTAGCGCTCCCACGGACACACTCACACGTTTCAGCTAGGCGCTGTTTATCCCACTTCTGATTTTTGTTAAGTTATTGTAAAATAAAACAGTTTGCAAAGCTTTTAAGATTTTAACCTAGTTTATTTATTATATTGATAGTAGCAGTTTTTAATATATATCTTATTTCATTCGCTCCAAAGCAACCAAAAAAC